TTAATCAGTACCCCTTTGAGCAGGCGTAAGTTTCGTAATTATGTTTTTCGCAGCCTCGTCTGTCTCATGTCAACTATGGTTTCATGAAGTTTGCATGGACTGTGTAGAAATTCCATAGACCTTAGAAAATTATTTTAATGAACATTTCCGTTTATTAAAAATCCGCTCAATCAACTGGGTAATCACTCTGTAAGTTATTGCTAGAAAGGTAGCTGTCAACTTCATTTTTAGGCTTAGATAAGGCCAGCTTTTAAATTCAGAATCGCCAACGAAAAGCATCATTTTAATCATTACTGATTATTTATGATTATGAATCATACTCAGTTGAAAGTTTCTCATTTATTATCCTTAACTGAACTCTGGCCGATTGACAGTACTCATACCAGGATGTTGTGGGTACCAATGTATTTCAGCAGAGAGCAGCACATTTGCCGAAAGAATGATAAGTTCTATGAATTTTACAGAATTATAGGACTTGACTTCTCGCTCTTGAAAAGTCACTACCCTCGACATCGAGACCTTAGGCTATGGAAGCTCACTCATGGTAGAATTGCCACCCAGGAGGGCAACCTAAAATTATGCTCAAGACATTGATGTAGGCAGTGGTGTGGCGTCTATTTGCAAGATAGCTACAATCCCGGACAAAATTACGTGAGAACGTTTTTCCCATAAAGTGCACTATCCTACGCAACAAAACTACTTCCAAAACAACGGTTTTGCCGAAAGAAATCCCCTCACCACAGTTCGACAACATTGCTTCCAGGGGGAGGGGGAGAGGGAAGAATAGGTACAGCTACGATGCCTAGAAAAATGCTCCCCAAGTCCGCAATTTTCTCAACAGTTTTGTCCTAGATTGTAGATCATTGACAGAGACATCTGTACAGCACTGTAAAACTAGTAATAACGAACGGCTTGGGAGTGTTGTTGAGTTTCAGGCTTCTGATCGAAGGTCAAAACGCTCTTGCTCCAAAGCTCGTGCTTTGCGTACTAAGTTTCACGTGACAGAAGGTCAAAAAGCACGTGATCATATTACGATCGATTGATAGATTCTGTTACAAACGCGCGTGATCACATTGCTTTCTTTGCGTTTCATTCATTCTTTGTGAACGTGGAAACGAAAGCTAACCTGCGAGCAAGCTCTCCATTTGGGGTAGTCGCGAGAAGTCACGCGAGAGCAGCACGCGAAAGGAGACGCGAGTGCTTCGCTCATAAATAGAGAGCTTGCTAGCAGGCTAAACGAAAGCGTGCGCAGCATGCGTAATCATAAGCAACCTGAAAATTAGAATTGCGGCCTCTTCTTATTAATAATAAAAGTTAAGGCTTTTATGAGCGCATCTAAAGGTCACAATGCGCTTACATGTCATTTTATAAGGATTATGATAAATATATAACAGTAGTGTAATAGAATTGAAAAAATAATTAAATAAAAACCTGTATAATATTTCTGATAGGATTAACAAAAATAAATAGATATATGAGATAAATTTAAACAACAAAAAAAAAACGCCAGTAAATAATGTTTTTCTTAACTCAAAAATAAAATTTCCGAAATAGGAATGTTTGACGTAAACTTGATGCTTAACCTCTCTATCTGCGAATGCGTCCTATGGACCTGATTGCATTGGTTGCTTTTCTGCGTGTCTCGTTTAGTGTGGTATGTCATTGTTCGGTTTTTGTCTAAAATAAACCCAAGATCACGACCTCTTTCAGTTAGTTCAATGACGGTACTGTCAAAAGAGAGCTTCTCAATGTTAGGTGTCTTGGTAAATCGGGATATGAACAACATAACCTCTGTCTTTTCAGCATTACGTCTTAGCATATTTTGCGTGTTCATCGCATAACATCCTCTATACAGAGTTGGAGGGCAGTCAAGGACGAAGCCTGATTTGCAGAATCGATAGCTATATACAGTTAAGTGTCATCTGCATAAAGAAAAGAGTTCAGGTTAAGGCGAGCACTTACATCCTGTAGAGGGGCAATATACAAAGTGAAGAGAAGCGGTCCAAGTATAGACCCTTGTGGGACACCATAACACAGAGCACGAGGAGTGCACACTTGATCTCCAATAATTATTGATTGCCGGCGGTATTCAAAGTAGGATATGAACCAGTTCAGTGTCAGTTTTGAGCAACCAAAGAAAGACTCGAGTCTTCCTGCCGGAATCGCATGGTCAATGGTGTCAAATGCCGCTGATAGCTTGAGTCTTTTTGAAATAACAACAGGTCAGGCTTCAGTATTATTTTCCTGAAAATTTTAGATGCAATTTAAAGGGACAGGTTCACGAGAGTGAGTTCTGACAGTAGCAAATTGTTTTTAAACCAATCGGAAGCGAGTTAGATGAGCGCAAGGAAATTTAGATAAATTTAAATTCATTGTTCGGGACGCGGGAGTATTTCCGGACATTTGGTTCGATTTTATATATCCCCATAATTCATATTTATTCTTTGCTATTCCTCAGATATATGTTACAGCAGATAAGAACAAGATTACAGCCCTGTCCCGCTATGAAACAAACATTTACCGACGTGTATTTTTACGAGGTCTTTTACGTACCCACGCTAACAAAGCAGTCATCGATCGGCGAGCAAAATTTGTAAACAAACCTTTTACTACTGATCTTTCTGTTAGCCCAATAGAAGAAATATTTGTAGGTATTTGGAAATACCTAGAAATGGCGCCTGACCAGAGAAAAAAAAACACACGACGTATAATGATGAAGATTATCCTAAATTGTAGCAAATGAACAAATTCATTCACGTTGCGTCGGGTCAGTGTTCCGCAAAACAAATGTTATCGAGTAGAACTTATAAAGAGCCCAGATTACAAACACAATATTTAGGCAATAGTTTATTTTAAAAACATCAATTCTTTAACATGTACGATCATACTGCAAATATACAAGGAACATTTCAAGTGTACCACATTGGTGAAAATCGCGCGACCTGTTGAGTACTTTAGGGTATAACTACAGGTCGGAGTCATAAATCAAATCAGAGTTGAACAAACTCATGCCTTTTACCACTTTCCAAGTGTGGTGTATTAAAATTCTTTTCGTGAGCCACACACAACTCCTAGAACCATACCAGATCGATCGGCTAAGCTTCTCTTTCTCCAAAGATTCGTGAGAACGTCCTGTTGCCGTTCACGCCCGCGACGTCGCTTCCTAGACTCCATTCACGAAATTTATTTTTCGTTTCCTAAACGCCTTTATCACAAAACCAAACAACACTCAAGAGTACTTTAGAAATAGCAGACTTCACTTTAATTTGCTTACGTAGAACGACGGATGAGCGAATTTAAAGACAGATTCCTTTGGATTCGCAGTTGATGTCTTCTTGGAATTTAGTGTTGGCCCGTATTATTCCATTCTGGAAGCTGTCACGGCGTGCATGCACATGACAGTAAACCACCCGTTTAAACGTATTACGGAAGCGAGAATTTTTCTGATTCCTCTCTCCACCACATTTTTGATTCCGAAAATTTTACGTTTTCATTTGAGTACGGAAAATAGCCTAACCTGGGCAGTGAAATGTGAAAAATCAATCTTCAGAAAATCGTAGGGAATTCGAGAATTGTTCATGAATGGAACGGTCATCTAGAAATTCTTAGCCGTCCTCAGGTAAAAGAAAATTCTAGGCAATATTTGCTTCTCCGAACAGATATTTTACAGAAAGTAGTCGTTGGGTGCCCCTGTATAATCATATCAGCACTTATTTTTCTTGACGTTCAACCATAAGCATGATTTACGTTTCCGAACCTTGATTTTGGCTGAATGGGCGTGTGGCCAAAGAAACTCTTAGCTTTCGTGACCATTCGCTTCCGTAAACATTCACTGATTACGCGACGAACATTCATAATTATTAAAGCATAAAATTGACCTACTAAGCTAAGGTCACGCATCGTTCTTTTGAAGCTCTTTTATGAAATAGAGATATGTGTTCTTTACTTAAAAAATAAAAGTGTTCAGAAATCTTCATGGAATTCTGTTGGTTTTTGAGACAGGATGATTTTATAGCGTGCAGTTGTAAGCTAGTGTGCCAGCGTGGGATTGATAGATTGGTATTTGATCTGTAAGTGCAGGAAATCGTAAATCGCGGTGTACTAGACTTTCCGTTAAACCTAAAAGCGATTCTGATTTTGAGTTTCGGTTTTGGAGAAAGGAACCAAAATAACTCTATTTTAACAGTTTGTTCTTAATAACCAGTATTTGACTGACTCCTTCATAACATTTGCATTATTTTGCTTCCTTGGAATTTCATTTTGTCACGCGTTCTTGGTTGACATCGCGATGCTAATTTCTCAATAAATTAGGTATAGACGTCTAAATGTCAGTCCAAAAATCTTCATGCGTGTTTACCTAATATAGCATGCTTTCATTTGTCAGCGGTAGACATAAGACGTAAAGATGACGCTAGCTATCAGAGGAGTTTAACATCAATGCAAACAGAACTGATCGCCATGACGGACACACAGGATCTCTTGTTTCAGCACCTGTCCAGCTAGGGCTTTCAATTATAGAAAAAAATATATATAGAGAGAGATGTGTATTGTGAAATATAATAACGACATAACATGTGATTGGGTTTTGTGTGTCGAATATTCGGAAAAATTCTATGAACAATTTTCGTGAATGTTATCAAGTCGCTTTCGTGCCAAAATAGTTTCCTTAAAGCTTTGTTTTGATCTCTCGCGAGGCAGGTGCGCGCCTCGATCGTCGTAAACAGTGCTTTAGACGTCAAATAACCCTTTGTTGGGGTTTCGAAACTTCAAAACGATTAGTCATACAGTTTCCTTTTTCGCCAGATAATCATTCATTCCTAAACTGATGTCATTCAAAAACAAAGGATTTGCGTGAACGATTGGGATATATAAGGAGCGTGTTGAATCTAACCCAACAGATCAAAGATTTATAGAAACCAGCCTGTAACACTTTGAAAAGAACGTTTATGGAGAATTAAGAAGTCATGAAACGAAAAGTTCCATTTCTGCCGAGGTTAAAACTGACGCGCCATTTGAGTACCATCGTGGAGACAAGGGATGAGCACTTGGAAGAATTCAGTAACATTGACAGTACTGCTATGATCGGAAAGGGAGAAGATATGAGGCGGAGGTTTAACAGAAGGGTCCATTCATGCAGTGATATTGGCTACGCGAGGAATTTTAATGAGAGAAAAACAGAGACCGTAACGCTTCCACAGTTACCCAACAGAACAACACTATCAAAAACTCAGAGACATGGAAAAAAACCGAGGGATGAGATAAGTTCTTCATTTAGTGTCGATAACACTTTTCCTGATTTTCGCCCACCCGATAGCAATTTCAACACCATAGACTTTGACGCTAAGATTGGAAAACGCTGGACGCGAACTAATGCGATCGCCGAAGGCGATTTTTCCCACAACAAGGAAAACATTGTCGCATCCTGGCTTCAGTTCTTTGGATGATTATAACCAGAGAAAGCCATCAATTGTCAGACTCTGAATATGAGTTTCTTCTTAATGATGATCAAAGTTAGGATGAAACGAAAAAAAAGAGATTAATAGTTTAAGAACATTTTGTACGCTGTAGCCATATACATATACGAGCATATCACGTTATCTGCTGCTCCACAAGATCGCCATCATAAGATTTTGCATATTATTGTAAAATAAAATTCCATATTTTAAAGTCAAGAATATATTTTTGTACATTACAATAAAAGCGATTGATAGTTACGTCTGTTAAATTTGGTTGCTTATCTGTGCCAAAGGTTATTAATCTATAAATTATCAAAAAGTGGCTTCACCGACTAGAAGATCGTCTTCTTCATGACGTCCTTAGTTTCTATTCCTTACTTTTGCTGTACAATTATAAAAACCTGTTGTAACAGACGAAGCGAAAACAAGCGTATAGCATGTTTTTTTTTTATGAAAACGCAAACTTATGTCTTATATGCTTGGATTCATATTCAATTTCAACCGGCTTTTCAGCAACGTGAAATACGTTCTTAATATGCTAATTTCGATGTTTTTGTAAAATTGTTCAGTTGAAAATCGAATAGTATCCCATTGTTTTTAAAGCAGCAGTGAAAGCGATAGGAAACATACGCTTATTATTTTTGGTTTGTACAATAGCCGCAAAAGGCCTCCAAGTTGTTCTTTGAAACTGGTTCCATAATACCCAGCCAAATAATTCATTGACGGTAATATCTGGTTTAAAACGGGGAAATACTTCTGTCAGTGACCCCTTACAGACATCAAAATGGCGGTATAAGTAATAGTATTTTCTTACTGTACAAATATCAGGTTTCTTCTCTGTTTATTGTCTCCAATATTATAATTGCGAAAAAAAAAAAACAACCAAAAAAACAGTAGAAGTTTTGCAGGATTGGAGTGGATACGATGTAATAACATCGTTACAATATCTTACTTAATTTGTTTCTCTTGTACAGTAATATTGAAAAGGCTAGTTCTATACATAACGAAAGTTAGTTTGAAAATTTGTACAGACGGCCGGATGCTTAACTCAAAAATTACAAGAACAAATTTTTCAACTCCAGCATTATTTTTAGTGACTAAAACTAACATTTGCTTTTAATTACAGAAATGCCTCTTCTGTACATGTTTAACGCCGACAAGGTAATCTTTCCAATAAAAGACCGCTTATTGCCCTGTTCATTTATCTAATATCACTTCTTATGTATCATTAGCAAATTATATTTTTGACACAAAAAAGGTAATTTTGTCCCAGTTAAGGTTCAATGTTTGTTCTTTTGCGTGGTGGAAACTGTAGTTTAAACTGAATTAAAGAATTAAATAACCCGTTCAAAATGCAAGCAAGTCTGTCACTAAATTTAACAATCAATGACGACGACGTTTAAACAACTGCTAAAAAAGGTTGCAAATTGCAGTGAAACAAATATCCCAAAATGGAAGGGATCCGGTTTTGTTTTCTTTGGAAGATTTTGTGCAAACATTTGGTAGTGCGTCACTCCTCACTTTCAACCAGATAATTTTTTTTTGTCACTAAGGCTGTCAAAAAAATGAACAGTCGTGAAGTCATTTTCGGAAAAATTTGATTAACTTCGATGTGCATCTGCTTCCCAAATCGTGTTGGCTGGCATATACATTTTGGTTCGTGGCCTAATTGGTTTTTGTATTCTTTACCCTAGTTCACTTACTGGCTCCCTAGAGTATTTACTAATAATCCTCGCTATCTAGCATACGTTACAGAACGAAATCTTACTTGTCTAGTTAGTCTGTCTTTGTGATTTTATTCACCGTTATGATTACTCATATGCATATTAGAAGAGGGTCTGAATGGGGGTACTTCGATAACACTAAACTCTTCATTTTTTGGTTTCGTAACATGAAACAGTTAAATTTTAGGCATTTTATCACTAACAGTACAAAATTCTTTGAATCAGTAAATTTTTTCCAGAAAGAAGTAAAAACGGCTCCACAAAGGCCAATATTATTTTGTTAAGTATATCAAAGGAGTTTTCAGACATTTAACGACAATTCCGGATAAGTTCAGAAGATTTCCGAAGGCTACTGACGATTCGCAAAGACTGTCGAAGATTTCCGAAGACTAATGAAGAGGTCCGACCATCGCCGAAGATGTCCGAAGAACCCTCCAAACAACAGTATTTTCTTCGCAGCAGTAAACATTAAAAGATTGGCCAATTAAACAGCAAACACTAAAAATTATGGGCAAATAACACTAAACACTAAGCCCCATTCGTACCCTCTAATAAGAACGCTCATTTCTCAAGTTTCATTTTCTGGATAAGGCCGTTGCCATGGCAACATCGCATCGTTGAACAGACAGTAATTTTGTTATTTTTGGTCGTTTTTTCTTAATATTTCTAATTTTCCACGGTGAAATGTGTTCATTCTTTGCCACATTATGTAAACGATATCGCTTAACATTTTAACATTTTAAGACCGTTTTGCCAATATTCCGTAATTTGTTACTTTTCTTAATAAAAGCAATGAGCTCTTTAAAATTTTAATAAAAAGAAGACAGTTTAAAAGTACTGCAACTGGTAAGAAATGAGGCGACTAAAGTCACTTCCAGAATTTCTTTTTGATATATAAAAACATCAAATCAAATGTAAGAGAAATGACGTGACTGAGGAGCTTCGCCGGTTAAGTCATTCTTCATTGTTTGTTCTGGACTTGGCTCGATCTTTCAGATTTTTCCACAGACTGTAAACCAGAGGCTAGAAACAGCAACATTGTTTCCTTCAGGGTATTGTCCTTGACTTGCTTGTTTTCTTTGTAAAGTTTCTCTTCACCATTTACTTTACTGTTTTAAGGTTTGTCTACTTTAGAAGCGAAAGAATTGATGTCTTTGGAAAAGCTCTCTTTTGTTCATGATACGATTCACGCTCATGGAGATCGATAGTTAAAGAATGATATAACTGAGGTGACTTGTAACTCGTGTAGTATTGTCTCCTCTCATAAATGTATGGCCTACGCTAACCAAACTTCTTGCATAATGCAGGGCTTCAAGAAAGTTAATTAAGCTGTTCTCGGGGAATATTTCGAAACTGAGAAGTCATGTTTTGTTTTATTTTTGCGGGACGTCGCGCAGATTTTAAGGCTCGCGCCATACTAGAGCTCAGTCTGCGCACGGTTATTTTACTCTAAGGAGCCACCTCAAATCAGTTGTCTTTCAGGCTCTCAACAAAGGCCATCGGCAAATTATCCTAGGAGATCTACGGACTCCAGGGCTTTTCCGTTTTCACAGGTAAAGCCTTGGGGACAAGGCTAGGGGATGTTTCATTAGTATTTTCGTCTTAACGTTTCCTAATTTTTATATTAATTAATATCATTTTAAAATATTTCTTCCTTTGTATTATAGTTTAATGTACGTTCTTTGTTCGATAATAGCGAACGCAAAAACAGGGAATTTAAGTAAAAATAAGAAACCGGTGATGATCACAGGCTATTTACAACTGTCCGACATACCTCCATTAGCGAGGCCTCGCAGGTTTTGCCTGTCTTTATTCCTTCGAATCATTACAAATTCTTGAGAAGCAAACAAATGAAGTCACTTCTGTGAAGAAGGTTTGGAAATTTTATCGTAACAATCATGAACTTCGAAGACTAATTTGCTTTATAAATCTTCAACAATCAATGATCTTTTAACAGCTTCAAAGCTCGAGGCTGTTTTAAAATTGTTTGCAGAAGCCGAATTCTAACCCATTTAATCTTCGCCGCCTAGTTATCACAAAGAACAGTAATTGTGTTTCACTCATACAGTGCTTGAAATCTACGTTGATCTATGTGTGCCCTCTTCGTTTGAAAAATTGCGACACTTCTCGTGGGTAAACTTTGGCCTGCCCGCATTATAACAGCGGACTTCTGCGGAGACCCTGTGCGAGAAAATAGCTAAGGTTGTGATTAGTGGATTATTTTTGGACCGTGGAAGATTCTTTGACTCTCTAGAATCATTTCGTCAGCTTTTGATATCAGCATCTAAAGAATGCTAAATACCAAACTCGTTTTTAATCCATTGAACGATGTCTTGAGTCGTTTCGCAGCCAAGGAGTCTGTTTCCTTCTTGATTTGCTGATGAGCCTTTAATCACAGTGCTGTCACCCGGAGGTTGATTCCATTCGTTTTCACCTTCCACAAGAAACTCTGGAAACAATTTTAAAGCCATAGCAAAGTTTGCGTTTTGCTTCCTAGAACGCGGAATTGTATATGAAGGTTCTTGAGTACACGAAATATTATCTTGCTTGGAGTTCCCTACCATGTCCGTAGTATGCTGTAGTTCTGCTTGGCTTGTTTTCTCTTTCAAACACTTGGGAAGCGCCTGGGTTTGGTTCATAGATGCCAGGATTTGTAACAGGGTACCAATTTTAGATCTAGACACGTATGCAGGTCACAGGCTACCTAACTGTGTTTAAAAACCTTTAGTTATCTATTCCTGAACTGCAATCTTGTAGGGTGCTGATGAATTATTCTCTCACCATGAATATGTGGCACTAAAGGATTTACTCTCTGACAATCTTTTGGCGTTTTTGATGAGCAAGACCTTTTCCAGAGATATAAGTTCAGTTTACTTAATAATTGCACAGCACGATCGTAGAAACGCATACGTCATCTTTGACGTCACGTCCCTTTGACTCACATGTTCCCGTATTTCCCTTAAACATCCATCGGAGACATTTCTTTCAAAGACCTGAGTTACTTGTCAATTTTTCCCCTTATGCAAGTAATTACAACTGAATATAAAAATTCTGATCACACAGGTTTTAAACTTCTGATGCATGTTCGTCTGAAACTTATTTCATTAGCAGGTTTTTACGTAGTCTCGGTCTAGTACTGCTGCATTTCTTAGAAAAAGCTACAAAATGCTAGCCTTTTCGTTAATTTATCCCAAGTCCATCTGTTATGGTCTATTAAATTTGACTGGATCGAACTGGACCAGAATACATAATTAGTCTTTTGCT